TCATCATCATTCCAGTCGTCCCAATTAGTGTCGTTGCTGGTCTTCCAGCCCGATTTCGCTGACCCGCCACCAGATTTCCACCCAGGTTCGTTCCCGGCACCCTTCTTTTTACGCCAATCCATATTCCCTCCTCTCCATTTCTTTCCACCAGAGCCCCCTGCCCCCCGCTTCCAACCCCCTCGATCTGCAGAGGGACTCGTCATCGGCCGTACCTTCAGGGGTATCGGCTCTTCCACTACCACTGCAGAGCCGCTCTCCTCAACGCCGTCCTCATCATCAACCTCAATGGTCTGAGTCTCATCAATCTCTATATACCTCCGAGCGTGGAACAAGACCTCCTTCAGAGAGGCGAGAGTACACATGCAGATCTGCCTCAACTGAGGGTCCAGGTCCACCCTGACCTGAGCAGCAGTTCTCTATGGTCACATCCGGAAGCCCCTTCCCTCACATATCCACCGCCAGTCTCCCGCTTAGACTTCTTCCCGTAATTCCAATCCCACCACAGACCCTTCTTGTCCACGAACCTGTCAGAACAGTCAACCATTATGATACTTCCAACAAAAATCAATTCTCCCCACCTTTTCAACGCCACCTCCACCTTCCGCATGTCTGTACACTCGTCGCCTATGATATCAACTAGAGGAGCCTTCACTGCCTTCACAACACTCGTACGAACTCTTGCACGGTAAACCGAGTTGGGTACCTATATAGGGGTAGTGTGAAAAAGTATGCACATGGTCAACTACATATGTCAATGACAATATGAAACTTCTGAGGAAATTTTGGGTCGTTCTCGTTGGTTTCTCAGCACCTCCACCCTAATTCGTATATAAACTCCTACAATTAGTGAGTAAACTCCTGAGCTCAGCTGGGGAAAGCGAACATATATTCCAACGCTGTACAGAGGTGACCAGAGCTTTCCCCAATCTCACCGCAGGAGGCAATACCGATGCCGCTAGGACCAGCTCCGGCTTCAGAGGCTTCGACGTATCAAACTGCAGTTTCGGCGTGCCAGGCTGCTCAGCTGGGCCTCCGTTCGAGACGCCAGACTCCTTAGTAAGATCGTCACTCGCCACTAAATTGACTACTTCCCCATCTCCCTCTGCGCCCCTGCCCTCCGGCCCTCCATCATCAACACTACCACCATGCCTCTCTTGACTACCCTCAAAGGCCTCTCCCGTCCACTTCGGAACGTGAAACTCCTCCACATTATCGTCCAGCTCTATTTCCATCGGCTTCGACCCTCGCCGGCCCGCATGCAAGGGGCTTTCAATGTCCCCTTGCAATGCTATCCTCCTCCGTTTTACACTACCCCTATCCCTGCTTCCATCACCCTCTTTCCGATCGCTTCGCTCCGCCATTTTTCGCAACTTTCCACTTTTTCTATGTTCCCTCTTATCCGACCTATGCTTCTTCTTTTTCCTCTTCCTTTCCCTTTCAGTACTACTACCAACAAGTTGCCCCTCCCTAAAGAGTCCACTGCCACTCGGCCCACTCGAGCTCGCTGCCACTATTTCCACGTCCCCACTTGGTGATCGATTCCGTCCCGACTCCTCCAGTGCTGAAGGGTCCGGAACAGCAGCTTCAGCGGCTGAAAACAGAAACTTGCTGAATGAACATTCACTACGATTCACAACGGGCCTGGCACGATGTAAACCCCGGCATCGAAACCAACAGTAATACGGATGAGGAGTAGTCCCAAGTAGTGGTTTTCATGAGCCCCCTAGGGCCAACTACGTCAAAGTAGCGTGATTCTTCGAGACACGACGACGCTGGTGCGCTAGAAGATTTATGCCCACAACGACGAAGAAACGAAATCGACGGCTCCTATGGTACTACCGACGAATGCTTCACTAACCTAGTGGTTCTACCCCCATAGCATGATGCTCTCATCTACTCACGAAGAGGCGGAGGAGTGGTACGAAGAACAGCCTGGTCAAGTCCCTATTACCGTAAACTCCAGGTGGTAAATCCAAACGTTGGATATTCCGTTCCACTAGGCGCTCCAAGAGGTCTCTATCGACCGCAGCTGGTACCGTCCAAGGGGACTCCCAGCCGCACTGCAGTAGATGCGCCAAAAGGGCATCAAGATCATCCATCTTCCTCTCGGGGCATGAAGATGCGTCCTTTGCGACCGGCTCCTCTTGAGACACTAAATAGCAACAGATTGATATATATACAGCTCAAGCATGAACGATGATTTCGAAAAGGAGTGGTAGTGTGGGGGAGGAAATATGCACATGGTCAACGACATATGTTGGTGACAATATAAAAATTTCGGGAATTTCTAGTTCATTCTTATACATCTCTTCTCGTATTCGTATATGAACTTCTATAATTAGTTCGGAAACTCCCGAGCTCAGCTGAGGAGAGGGAGCATTAATATTTCAACACCGAGGAGTGGTATGAGAATCAAAACTAATTCTCCGACATACGCAAGGCTATGTATTACCTGCAGGCATCGAGACGTCCTCCGCCTCCCCTCCAACACCCACTAAAGGGCTCGAAATGACTGACGCCTCGGCAATTGGGGAGCTGCCACCCATGGACCCCTCCTCTACAGCATCTATGAACTCCACTTCCGCCCAGTCGTAGCAAGGAGGTGGTGACGACGTGATGCACTCTTGTTCAGCCTTGGGGGGATTGCTGATGTCTTCACTCATGATCAGCGAAAAGAAGACATTAGAAGCGCTACTACCGCGACTAGAACCGGAGACCTTTCGCATGCCAACTACGCCATCTACGTTTCGAACAAAACTCATTTCATTCAAAAAAAGAGCATGACTAGCCTCATGCGAGAAAACCGTCACAAATGGACAGCCTTCCTTCATAATAATGTTACACACAGCCCCAAAGGGAAGAATGCATCAGGCTGAGGTCCATTATGATCCGTCACTGCGCCACAAAATTAACGCCATCAAGCGGCAGCCGACTCCTCCACGCCACCTCTCGAGCTCAGACCAGCCGCCTCTACCTCTCTTCCCATACCTAGACACAGCAGGTCCGTCTGTCAACGAGAATAAGCTCCGGTAAGAGGACTTGACTATTACGATGTCAATGATCTACTGAGCCTACTTACGTGAGTTAGAATCGGAGGAGTGCGCGTCCTTACCGCCCTTCTTTGCCACACGTTTCAACGCCACTTTCTTACCACCAAACTTCTGCCGAGCCTCCCTGTGGAAGAAGATTCATAGGAACCCTCATAGGAAGCACCCAGGTTCGATCCCCACACCCTACTCTATCTCCTCAGCACTTATACCCGTAAGATTCTTCAGCGGCTCCCAGGTGTTCTCCGCGGAACTGTACCCTCGCCACTTGACATAGAACTGTTCCTCTGAGAAATGTCATCACCAGGATTCGAACCGGGGACCTCTCCCTTACTCTTCCTCGACTTCTTGTACCCCTCTATACACTCTAGCTCGTACATAGATTCTGAGTCACTACTCTCGTCGGCGCCCTGACGCTTATCCCGAAACGCCCTATACAGAACCTCCACCATCACGAGATGACCCCTAGGTTCTATTCAGACTACTGGAAGCAGACCCATACTCCCAAGGTAGTGAACTCCTGCATATGATAATTACACACTCTACCAGATATACCCGAATATCGGATCCTCTACAGCTATAACGACTAACTTCCATCGTTCCTTCAAGTATTCCCTCAAAGACACCACCGAATGACCTCAGAATGTCCTCATCCTTCTTCGCCAAGCATTGTGATATCCT